TCTACTGTACAGACAGCTGAAGACAGAGGGCAAAAATTTCATTTTTGCCGTTTGCCCTTTGACGTAACGTCATGCTTAAACTCTCTTGTAATGACCGAACGCCCTGCGCACTAGATGAATCCAAAACCGAAAGCAGAAAAAATCGGGTTCCGGCGAAGTAATTCGCATTTATTTGGTTAGACATTATTACGTTAAGTGATTGGCTTAAAAACTCGCGCCACTGTGTCATCCCCTCAGAACAGTAAAACCAAAACAAATCGTTCGTAAACTTGCATATGATAAACTTGCATATGATAACCAGTTTTACAAGCCTCATTAAAAACTTACTGCGTTGAATAGTCTCAATTTTAATTCAACCTTTCTAAACTTAATTTCTCTCATTTCTTAAAATCGAGTTCAGGAACTTGAATTACATCATGAGCTTCCAATTTACTGAATTATATTCGTTCATATTGGAATAATTGAAGCTCTCGAGTTATTTGCAATTTTGCAAATATTTGCACAAAGAAAAGAAACCCTACTTAATTTCATTTTCTCAAAGCTTTCCGACGTGTGGCAGTTATAAACACCTAGTTTTAGCATAATAATAGTATTTGCCGTTAGAAACACCAACTGAACACATTCGACACCCATCAACCTTTACACGCTAGCTGACTTGCGGACCCAGAAGAAATAAATCTGTTGTTAATCAAATCTATGTATATCTTCGCCTGGGCTCTTTTCTAAAATCTGATCTGTAACAATTTTTCCCTCGAACGCTGCGATTTCTAATTAATGATATTAAAAAAAAAACCTGCTTCTAAAATCCATCTAAATCTGGGTCACAAATACGATCTTTAATATTAGATGCTACTTATGTAACGCCTACGAGTAGTACATATTAGTTAAATGCAACGCTTTCGAGTGGTATACCATGGAATAGCCCGTTAGTTACTTGTAATTTTTCGGTTTTCATTTTGGCGAATGTGTNTCTACTGTACAGACAGCTGAAGACAGAGGGCAAAAATTTCATTTTTGCCGTTTGCCCTTTGACGTAACGTCATGCTTAAACTCTCTTGTAATGACCGAACGCCCTGCGCACTAGATGAATCCAAAACCGAAAGCAGAAAAAATCGGGTTCCGGCGAAGTAATTCGCATTTATTTGGTTAGACATTATTACGTTAAGTGATTGGCTTAAAAACTCGCGCCACTGTGTCATCCCCTCAGAACAGTAAAACCAAAACAAATCGTTCGTAAACTTGCATATGATAAACTTGCATATGATAACCAGTTTTACAAGCCTCATTAAAAACTTACTGCGTTGAATAGTCTCAATTTCAATTCAACCTTTCTAAACTTAATTTCTTAAAATCGAGTTCAGAAACTTGAATTACATCATAAGCTTTCAATTTACTGAATTATATTCGTTCATGTTGGAATAATTGAAGCTCTCAAGTTATTTCCAATTTTGCAAATATTTGCACAAAGAAAAGAAACCCTACTTAATTTCATTTTCTCAAAGCTTTCCGACATGTGGCAGTTATAAACACCTAATTTTAGCATTAATCAAATCTATGCATATCTTCACCTTGGCTCTGTTCTAAAATCTGATCTGTAACAACTGTTTTCTCGAATGCTGCGATTTCTAATTAATGATATTAAAAAAAAAACCTGCTTCTAAAATCCATCTAAATCTGAGTCACAAATACGATCTTTAATATTAGATACTACTTATGTAACGCCTACGAGTAGTACATATTAGTTAAATGCAACGCTTTCGAGTGGTATACCATGGAATAGCCTGTTAGTTACTTGTATTTTTTCGGTTTTCATTTTGGCGAATGTGTATATAACAAAAAAAAAAATACAAGCGACAAGTGGGATATTCCATATGATTAAAAACGGGATCGTTGGAGAAGACAATTCGAGAGTTTTCATTGGCTTAGCCATCATGGGTTATGAGCCATTATACCATGCTCTACAAATATGCTAAGCGTACGAGTGATTTCTGGGGCGTTTTAGTTTTATTTTAGTTTTCTATATTTTAGGGGCATTTTTAATAGAATAGTTATTCCACTCGAGCTTGTTGAATATGAGATAATTATAGCCAACTCATATCCGACGCGCGCTNTTTTATTTTAGTTTTCTATATTTTAGGGGCATTTTTAATAGAATAGTTATTCCACTCGAGCTTGTTGAATATGAGATAATTATAGCCAACTCATATCCGACGCGCGCTCGTGGAATAACTGTTAAGTATTCCACGAGGTGTCGCGTAACTGTTTTATACCATGCCATGCCATGCTATAAAAATACAGGGGCCACTGAAAACGATCAATGCAGCGCATGATGGAAAGGTTTGATGTAAGACAATCGAATATACCACGGCTTTCCTAGGTTACAACTGTCTGTATTTTCTATAGCGTGGTATAAAATGGAATATCCCACGAGTTACTTGTATATTTTATACATTGCCATTTAACAAATAAAGAAGCTTAAGCCATGTATTACACGGAGAAAAAATACGACGGGCATTTGAGAACACAAGGGAAATGTAAAAAAACACGAGCCGCAGGCGAATGTTTTCTTCTTTTCTCGAGTGTTCTCAAATGGGGTACATACTAGCTATTCAACGCTTTCGAGTGGTGAACCATGGAATATGGAACTTCATCATTTGTTTTATGATATAGAGGTAACGTGGC